ATTTTAAGCAGAGCTTTATTTTCTGAACTATTCACAAAAACCGATTCCAGATTGAAGTTCAGTTTAAGGGTAGTTTCACAAAGCCTTCTGTAGTTGGTATTTGGAATTAATAATCTCCATAAAGTACCTTGTCCTCTAAGTTTCGTGGATCAGTGGATTGATGACAGTCCAGTCCCTTCCCAACAAGATTGGCGTTATACAGCAAGCACAGTCTAAAATCATGAGAGCTTTCACAGATACCTGCAGATCAAAACCTTAGAGAACAGATTACAGAACAAGAAGCCACAAATCAAGAAAGGCTCTTGCGAGAACCCTAATCGTAAACTACTCACAAACAAATGAATGAAGAATGTAAATAAAACCAAAAAGTCCATCATCAAAAGAAACCTTTATATTATTATTATACATATATTCTTCTCTATATTTTCCTTTATGATAATTATTTCCATATATCTATTTAGGTCTAATCTAAATCCATGCCCGAATTATTATGTATATATTTCCAAATGCACGTGCACATCGAGAGTCAGGCTCAACGTCCTTAGTGGCTAGCACGTTTTTCTGCTGCCTTCTCGGAAAATGTGACTTCTGCTGGCAAAATCAATTTGCGAAACGTGCGTGAAAAATAAAAATGTGGTGGAACTGTGGAAAAACACAGATTTTGGTTTGCCCAGGACCTGATGGCGACGGCAATGGGCACTGACAAGTGCAGCCAAAAGTCGTTTCCAATGAAAGCCAAACTTCCATCGAATGAGGCAGCGGAAGGAGCGACGGCAAGGACACTCGTGCAAAGCGACAGCGACAGGAAGAGCGAACGACCCGATCTGAACAAGTGCGGAAATTCCTGAAGCACACATGTGGCTCGCACATGTCGCGGAAAAACAGCTGAGACGGGAAGCGCGGAGGAATTCCCCGCGAGGATTCAACGCGTACAGGTGCCTGTTCGACAAACCAAGCGGTCGCTTCTGGCATTGTTGTTGTGTGTCGGTGTAGTTGTTGTTTTGGTTGTTGTTGTTATTGTTGTTGTGGCCCGCCCACGCCCATGAACATTTATGAGTTAGCACTTCAATCTGCGGATGGAACAGGCTTGTAAGTGAGCTGGTAACGACACGCACGCAGGACAACGTGGCATCTAGATCCGGGCTCCAGAAATGGACAAGTGCGTGTGTCACACAATGGGAATGGAAATGGAAATTAAAATGAGCGAAGAGCTGGACGTGCCTCCCAAGCGATAATCGACATTACCTGAGAGAACGTGGGAAAAAAGGATTTACGACTGTGTGCCGTTGATTTGCGTCGCTCGATGACGTGCCTAAGGATGAAGATGACGCTGCGACTGCGACTGCTTCGTCAAATCCGTGCGTGTGAGTGTGGGCTTACCTGTTGCACACTCACGCACACACACACACACAGGTTGAAAAGTCATCATAAATCTTGCTCGAGGACTCGAACTTGAGAGTGGTGTGAGTGAACTAAAAGGCAACCAAATCACGTCGTGCATTTTCACTTTTCGTGCGGGGACTTTCCCGCTGCCGCTTCACTCCCTCGCCCGCAGACTGTGACACAGGCTCGCTCTCCGTCTCAGTCTCAGTCTCGGGCTAAGGCTGTGGCCATGTTTGCCTTATCTATCAAATCTGTGTAAATTCCCGGCTTATCATGCAAAACACGTCCCATAACAACTTGATCCTTTGAGCTCTGCTCTTCTCTAGCCCAACTGCAGCTACTCCTTTTGGCTCGACTTGCTTTTGTGCAACCTTTCAACCTTTCCATCGAACTGCCTCCGGATCACGCAACTGCTGCTTAATAATTTGTATAAATATTTATTTTTGCTACCGATTTTTATCTGTCGCTCCTCTCCCTCGGCTGGTCGAGGTGTGAAATTCCAAACCCCCTCGACTCGTTTACCGGGAAACTGGCCAACGGCAAAGTTGTGTGGCCGGGCACCTCCCGCAAGGACATGTTTTGCATGCCTAAGCGACAAATTTTGTAATTGTTGCCCTTGGCATCAGCTTACATGGCGCCACATTTTCCAATTTCCTCTGCTCCTTGACTTCTTTCTGTGTGTCATTCGGTTTGACGTTTCCTCGACTTGGCTAAAGAACTGCACCTGCTGGAAGAGTCGGTTGGTGCCTTTCGCAGCGATTTGCTTAGCACGCGTTGGGATCCAACGACACCATCTTCAGAGGCGTTCACTTCCGATGTTGACACACGATACGCATCCGTTTTGCCAAGGCTCTTCCGTCCGTCCTTAACAAACGCCACAAGTGCACCAAAACGGAAATTATGTATACAACAACAACAAAGAATTCGGAAATTTATTTTCACTTCATCTAACATCTGAATATGTGCATGCACTGAACATTTTCAAAAAGTCAGTCTCAGGCTCTATAAACAATCTCAGGAAAATATCAAAGTTGTCCAGCTTGGTTCCAAATCAGAGTACTTTACAAATTATAGTGAAATAATCAAAATCATCATTCGTATAATAGCTATATGTTGTATTTGACCATAGATAAATAAAGTTTAAAATACTAAGATCCAGCAGCTGTATGATATTATTTTGAATATTATTTTAAAACTAATAAATAACAAATTTGCCTAAGTTGTCTTCAAAACCAAAAAACCTCTCCTAATGAAAGTAACTTTCACAGATCGGTCCTATGGCAACTACTATATAAAATTGCAAGCAACTTTAATAAACCTGTATATATGTAAGTATATACGAGTACGTACTTATCAAGTAAAGCTTTTATAGATAGATGAACATATCTGTAACGATTTGTCCAGTCTCAGCATGACAATAAGAAAACACTAACAATATTTGAAATATTTTTAAAATATAAAATTGTCAGAAAACTGTGAGTACTATTTGCAGAGACTGATTTGGCAGACAAAAAAATAGTAATAATATATAATATATTACAATTTATATATATCACAATGTATTTAAAAAGAAAAATTCTTTTTTTTTTATTTCATATTGATATGTAAAACGCCTATTATTGTTGTTGTTCAACTTTTTGGCTTGTGTAGTATTTATTATTCCTTCGAGACTTTTTGCAGATATTAGACTTTTGAATAATCAATAGATATTTTTTGCATAGATTCAGATAGATTCGCTCTACTCGTCTCATTAAAACACATTCTCTATGGGGTTTAAGAATTTAATCAATCCATAGTCCATTTGTTAATACGTTACAAGAAAATTGACGTTATCCTTTCCACTAGTAAACGGGGAAAAAAGCACTCGTAACGGCTTCTCAAGGGTGTAATATTTAATACTCATCGAACTTAAAGCCTAAAATTGTATGCTACAAGTGCCTTATGATTATCAAAAGGTGGTCCCATAAGTACCAAGTCTACAAAAGAAAATCAAACATTTTGAAAAACACATGTACCTATAATATAAGGTATGGCGCACCTCATTCTACTTGATTTCTAGTATGCCCTTAAAGGGCCTTCGACGACATCATGTCAATTAAAAAAATTTTATTGCGATTTTGCGGTTTTAAGCGATTAACTGATTAACTTTTTTGAATTCAATGGATTGCACTATTTTCCATCACATCGTCAGTCAATATTGCATTAATTATAGCTTAATATCTTGACCTCGAGCATTGCTTACCAATAAAGTATATACCGTAATATATTGTTAGGTGCAATGAGCTAAATAAAAAGTTATTTTATCATTCCCCCTTTATCTAAATTTTAATCTTCAAGTTTTAATACAGTTTTCTTGCTCCTATTATAAACAGTTTTATAATCTTACATTTTTTAAACGATTAAATGACATTTTTGAAGGATGATTATAAATTAGTTTTATGATTGTAAAACATAATTTCTACCAAAATTGCTGATCGCAAATATGACCCATTATTTTACATGATAAATGATTATAAGATATACATATGTATCTATGCAAATCAAAATAAAGTTCAACTAAAATTAGAGAAACAAAATGGTAGTCCACTAGCTTTTAAATAATTTTTGGAGACTCTTTCAAATTGAAATTAAATCTCGCAATTTTCAAAAAAATGAAAATAATATTAAAATTTTCTTCTTTTTTTCGGAACCCGAATATTATTATTTTTTTTAGTAGGGAGAAAGAAAATATGTACTGTCCAAAAACAGTTCATACTTAACGAAAGAAGAAACCGCTTAGTTAAACAGAAGGGCTTGTGTTGTATCTACATACAATATAACTGTTAATTATCATGTTCTTCATCAGTGCCTTCCATTGCTCACTAGTTCTTCAGAGCGTTGCGACAAAGTGCTACTACGACAGTATATAGACAGTGTTGAAACAGTGAAATGATTTCACAGCCGCTATTTGGCGTTAGTCAGTGGTAATAACCACGATGCGTCATCAACGCTTGTTAATACAAATCTTGACCAACGCAATGGCACGCACCGCGTTAATCACCTGCCTTGAAATAAACCGCATCGATACGGGTTTGTCTATCGATCGATCTGTCAGCTGTACTGGCCGAGTGAAGTTGCTGCTGCTCTCAGCACTGGCAAGCAACTGCAGTCTGCAGTGGTTAGAAGTTGCAACCAACAACAGTAACAACAGCAACAACAGCTGAGTCAGAGCGTCACACTCTTATACGTCTACAAGTTGTATGGAGTGCCGACGAGCCCCGAAATGAAAACACAACATGTTCGAAACGTGCCGCCTGGCAACCAGTGCCAGCGCTGTTGTATTCGTATCGAACAGATAGAAGATACTCTTCGAAGCAAGAACTGACAACGAGTTGTGCTATAAAGGCCGGTGCGCACAACATTTGCCAGTCAGTTGCGTGCGAGACGCGAACGCGAGAGCATTGTTAAAGCGAAGAGTCGCAGCGCGTTGGCGTTGGGATACGTTGAAAGTACTGAGCAGCCCACGAGCTTCTTGCTCCATCCCACCATATGAGAATACGCAAAACGTTAACACGACTGTGTAAGAAATATTCAAATTGTGAAAAGTGTGCAAGTGCAGAAAATAAAGAGCTAAAAAAAATAAAAAATTTTTTTGAAATGCTCTATGCTCAACATGAATTTTATGAGCAATAAAACAAAGTTCAAAAATATCAAGCAAGTCAACGACAAACGCAAAAGAAACAGCAACAGCGACAGCGACAACAACACTTACAAAGTGAAAAGTACGCCAAGTGTGCAGAGACAAGTTAAAAGCCAATCGGATTAAAACACAGCGATTTTTATTTTGGATTAAAGCACAGCCAAGGCGCTAACAAACAACAACAACAACAACAAGAAAGTAATACAGCTACAACAAAAAAGGTAAGCAACATGCAACTTTGACCTTAATGAGGCGATGCACAACTACAGCAACAACAACAACAACAACATCAATAGCAGCAACAATAAGAAACGCATCTAGGCAGAAATTGCAATAGAAACTGTCACAGTGGCAACAAAAAACAACTCGCACCCATTTTATGCAGATGGGCAGATGGACGAACGGACAGACTGACGCTGACGCGTAATGAGTTTGTTCAACTCAAAACGCCAACAGTCGTCGCTGGGTTTATTCTTTTTTTTTTTAGGGGTGGAATGGTAGCAAAAATGCAAATACGTCCGCACTTAATGCCGATAGTTGGCAAAGTGCTGAGCAACGGTGGCAGATACGGATACGAAGCACAGAAGTTGAGCGTCGCAAGCGGCTCTTTTTCTTGCTGCACCGCCGCCGGTCAGTGGTAGCTGTTAAAATTGTTGTTGTTCTTGTTGTTGTTGTTGCAGTTGGTCGGGTCATGTGAAACTATGCGGTGGCGAGCCAGTTAATTAATTTATTGCTCGCTAGCAGTCAGTCAGTCAGTCAGTCGAAATCATAACGAACGACGTTGGACAATTGCATTTTGCATTTGTTAATTGGCAAACGTGCAACACGCGAACGCGACCAACAGCCGCAACATCACCAACAACAACAACTCATTTATTTCACACACACAGGCGCAGATTTACTTCATGCTGCTTGGTTATTTGGTGCACAACTTGCGAAATTTAAATTGCATTTTAACAATTAATAAATTAATTAATAAGCAGGCAGCCGCTATGATTTCGTGCTGTATTGAAATCTCAACGGCAGCGGCAGCGCAGTAGCAGCTGCACAGCAGCGCAGCAGCAGCAACGCAGCAAACGGCTCGCATTGCTTAGCAACAGCAACAACAACACAAACAAACAGTTAGAATGGGCGCTCTTCTCACTCTCAGTCTGATTCTCACTAACACTATTCAGCCTGTTACTTGCGCTCCCACACTCAAAACTCCAAGTTGGTTAACACCCACACACTAACGCACACACTCACACACACACACACACACACACTCACTCACAGTTGAAGTTTTAAATTTTCGACGTAGGCGCGCGCACTCTTTGCGGAGGCAGCGAACGGCGCAAGCTTTGTTTGTTGTTGTTTCTGCCCCGGCTCTGCTGCTGATGTTGTGCAAGGCGAGCCACAACGAACAATATTTTTAATACATTTGATTGAATTTCTACACATTTCATGTGTTCGACTGATATTTATGTATGTATGTATGTACATATGTGTGCTGTGCTGGCCGCTCTAAGAAATTAAACAATTTTCAACATTTGCGCATTGTTGAGCGTTTAAAGTCAAAATTTAAAGCAATTAAAGCGTGCAAATGTGACAAAGTTGTTGTGTTTGTTGTATTTATTGTACATATGTAGCTGCAGATTTCTTTTACAACAACAACAATAGCCGCAGCGGCTTCAAAAAAATGTCATTAGCGTAGTTGTTGTAATTGAAACGAATGCGATTAACATAATTTTTTAAAAGTCTTTTAGCTATTGTGTGAGTTGTTTACCTAAGCACATGAAATTGAAAAAGGTCGGGCGGGGGGAGAGAAGGAAAAAGCAAAATTACAATAATTTCGGTTATTAGCCGATTAGTTGGCCATTAAAGCTGTTCAAGTTGTTGTTATGTTTGTGCAGTCGCCTTGAAGCGACTAAAACTTTGCGCATTAAATGAAAATTACGATAACTTACCAACTCACACACACACACACACACACGCGCGCACGCACGAACACTGCGGAAAATACACACATCAATATAAAAATAGCTTAGGCAGTGACAGAGTCTATGTCCACGGCTCCGGCTCCGGCTCCACTCAAAGTGAAGTTCCGTTGACGACAAACAAAGAAGCACAGACAGAGACAGAGGAAGAGGAAGAGGACGAGCTAGAAGAAGAGACAACGACTTAAGTTGGGGCAGCAGAGGCGGCAGACAGAACTTGGGGCATGCTGGCTAATTTTAGATGCGAGAAACGGGCCCAACCTACCCCCACTATTCCAGAGAGGGACGCACGAGCTGCTCGACTCTACGACCAAACTTCATGTCAGGGCCAATTTTCGAGCAGCCATCAAATTTTATGGCCAGCAAGATCTCACTGCTGACCCATATAACTAACAGAACTACATTCGTCCGGCCGTTCATCCGGCACCAAGTACAGTGCATAACATTTTGAGTTAATTTTCAATGCTCGGGAAATTTCTTCAACTCTTGGGATCATCATGAAATTGTTAAATTATTTCAATTCGCATAATTTATAGATTTTTATTTCAAATATCAATACTGATGTTTTGATGTTCTGACTTCCTGCCTTCAGGGGTTTTTTTTTTCAATCTGCAATAATTTTAAGCTTTTACCAAAAAATATACGATTCAGTATTTCCATACCCATACATATAATAATTTATAATTGGAATTGAATTGGAAAGCTATTTTCCGTTTTAGCCAATATTTACTTTACCTCCACATACTACAAGTATATGCATATTTGTGTGTATGTGTGTGTGTGCTGCTGACACAGGGAAATTGCAGGAAGCCGCCTTCGAATGCAGCGACGGAATGTCGAAGTTAAAGTTTGAAGCTGTAAACAATGTTGAAAGAAAATGTTGCCAGCCCCTCTTGTAATGTTGTAATGCAGTTGTTGTTTTTGTTATTGTTATTGTTGTTGTTGCTGCTACTGCTGCTTCTACTGCTGCTGCTCATTTTATGAATAATTTATGCACTTAATTGATTTTTTGTTTATTGTTCTTTAGCCCTCAATAATTAATTATAAACGTTGGTGTTGTCATTTCCTTTCAGTATTCGGAATTTCGTTGGCGCCGCCAAAAGACGAATTTAAACAAAAAACTAAAAGAAAAGTGAAAAAAGACTTTTGTGGAGAGAACAAAAATAATAAAAACAATGGCAGACAGCACAGCAGCACACACAGAAGTGCAAGTGGAGCAGCCAGAAAAGAAATTGGAGGCAACTATCATAGACATTCCAGCGAGCGGCACAACAGCATCACCCACACCGATAACAGTTTCGTCCTGCTCGTCGTCCTCGTCCTCATACGACACAGACTGCAGCATGGCGAGCAGCACCTGCTGCACCCGTCAGGGGGAACACATTTACATGCAACGAGCCATTGTCTGCGAACAGCAGACAGCAGTGGCATCCACAAGCTCAACGTCCTCCGCCAGCGGAGGGTCCACCACACATCTGGAGGTCGACGAGGTGGCGCTGCTAAAGGCCGAGCATCGCAAACATTGGCCCTGGTTCATACTCCTGATCTCCATAATCGAGGTGAGTTTCCCAAACAACCAAGGAGCGAGCAATGCTCTTAAAAAGAAATGACCAATACACTCATTTATAGAGGGAGGGGAGAATGTGGGGGGAAATGGAGATACTTTGCGCAATTTTCAAACTCATAATGATTATTGAATCAAAGAACCACAAAACGCAATAAAAATCATTGAGAGAACTTTACAAATTCACAACTTCCAACTAAAAGCGATAAAATAGGCCATACATGAATAGTTTATTTTTCTCCTTCTTATGGAAGACACTCACACACACACACACACACACACACTCACACACACACTGACACAGAGTCATATCAATTCGGCGGCAAGAAAATGAAAGCAAAACGAAGTTGGGCTGCCTGGCGCCCCCAAAATCGATTCTAAACGAGCGCGCATACAAACAGAAAATACATACATACATACATACTTATATCCGAGTATGTACATATGTATGGTAAAAAGAAATGGTGGAAAAAAGAGTACTCGCAACAACAGCAAGAAAAACAGTAGAAGAAGAAAGCAATTGGGGGCAAAACAAAGCAAAGCAGACACCGAGTTCATGCATACGAAAGCGCGGCCCACGAGGCGTATGAGGGATGTTTGAACGAATGCCAAAATAAGGTTTACTGCCAGTTTACTGCCAAGCCAGCGCCAAAAGCGACAGGACCCAGCACTGCTAGTTGTGTGTGAAAGTGTGTATGAACCGTGTGTGTGTGTGCTTGTAATGAGAACACGGCACAGGCAACATTGCTTACCTTGGCTGTCTGATTGCATTGCGAGGACAATTGACATACGCAATTGAATTACCAGGAACATTGATATTCCATAAGGACCCTGAAAGGATTCACGAATATTTTTTATTAAAGTAAATCAGAGAGCCCGGTTGAGCTCGAATTAGAATAAGATGCTTAGGGAAATAGGAAAGTTATGTCCTTATGCCTGCCTATACTTATATCGCTTTCCCCTACTCTTCATTTCCTTTTCTATAGATCGCCATTTTTGCCTACGATCGCTATACAATGCCCGCACAGAACTTTGGACTGCCGGTGCCCATACCCAGCGACTCGGTACTGGTCTATAGGCCTGATCGACGCCTGCAGGTCTGGCGTTTCTTCAGCTACATGTTCCTGCACGCGAATTGGTTCCATCTGGGCTTCAATATCATCATTCAGCTCTTCTTCGGCGTCCCCCTGGAGGTGATGCATGGCACAGCACGCATTGGCGTCATCTATTTGGCCGGAGTTTTTGCCGGTTCTCTGGGCACCAGTGTCGTCGACTCAGAGGTGTTTCTGGTGGGCGCCAGTGGTGGTGTTTACGCACTACTAGCCGCTCACTTGGCCAACATCACGCTGAATTATTCGCACATGAAGTCCGCCTCAACGCAGCTCGGATCGGTTGTGATATTTGGTAAGTTATTGACGCTGCAAAATTCGAAAACGACAGGCTTAGCTAACTGGTCCTTTTCCCATTCTCTATTTGCTCCATTGCAGTTTCCTGCGATCTAGGCTATGCCCTCTATACCCAATATTTCGATGCTGCTGCAGCGCCCGCCTTTACGAAGGGCCCCCAAGTTTCTTACATTGCGCACTTGACTGGCGCCTTGGCGGGTCTTACGATTGGCTTCCTGGTGCTCAAGAACTTTGGCAATCGTGCCTATGAGCAGCTGATCTGGTGGCTGGCATTGGGCGTCTATTGCGCCTTCACGGTGTTCGCAATTGTCTTCAATCTCATCAACACGGTCACCGCACAACTGATGGAGGAGCAGGGCGAGGTGATTACACAACATTTGCTGCACGACTTGGGCGTTTCATAAGCATTCTGTATCGTCGCACCCTCCAGGAGAGAATAAGAGAATGAACTCACACACACACACTCACACACCCACACACTCACACACACACATAAACTCATCTAGACAGAGAAACAGTTTGCGTAAAAATTTAGTTAAAAACTAAATCGATAATTGTTCGTTCGGCTTCACATCACTTTGCATTCGAGTTTAAAATCTGTACGTTTCATTTCATTTCTTATTTTGCGTAAGAGTCGCAAGCAAAACAACAACAACACCAACAGCAACAACAACAGCAGCAGCAGCAGCAGCAACAACAACAACTGTTGTAACTACAATAACAACAACAACGAGCCGAAAAACGTGTAAACAAATGTTGTGATAAAACCAAAGACTGAATTTATTTCGCGTATTAACTTCTAAAAAGTAATCGCCACTCGCTATGATTTCTATATCTATTTATACTTGTTTATACGTGTATATTTGTGTATACATACATGTATGTACATATATGTTCTTTAAAGATTATTTATGATTATTGTTTTTTCGTTTTGTTCAGCTCAATACCTTTAAAATAAAAATAGTACTTGTGCTAATTATTTAGCCTATTAATAGGAATTTTTTAATTTAAAACCCAATGAATTTGATATTAAAAAAAAAAGAAAAACATAAATAACTTTGCAAATGAATCATCCTCTTATGCCCCACAAAAATATTGTTTATGCTGTAGTCTAGTAAAATATTTAAATATATTTGCGCCACCTCCTATGTACATCAAATCGTCTGCGAAATTGTTAATATTTTTAAGTTGCACACTAGTCAAAAAACAAAAAAAGAAAAACCTAAATACAACTACAAAACAACCACAACAAACACCAATTAAATTAAAATCACTTAAACGCGTTTAAAACTGCACATCGCGCAACAACAACAACAACAAAATCAAAATACAAAACACAAAAAACTTAATCCCTTGAAAAGCACACGAGAGTATTACTAATTATGTATTTTATTTATTTATTGAACAGCGAAAGAAACCATTTTGAGCCAAAAAAGTTCATTATTACTACATATTATGTATTTTTGTCAATTTAATTCAATATTTATTTATTTATTTTAATTTAGTGGAATTCGCAAGCAGAAAAAACTAAACCAATTGCAAAGCTATTTGTAGCAATATTCAAATAATGAATACCCCGCAAAAAAAAACACAGAAAAGCCAAAGATAATAAAAATCAAAACAAATAAATACAACACAAAAGAAAAACAAATACACTTGCATTTTTATACCCTGTACCCAATGGGTGAAAAGACTTATTGGTTTTCAGACAAGGCATGTAAAACACAAATGGAACTATTGCTGCGCCCGTTCTATCAGGTACACCATCGAAAAAGAAACCTGTCTATTCACGTTCGTTCATGTGTCCGCTAGTATGAACCTTTGGTTCCCGCACACTAAAAGTGCAACAAGGTCCATAATTTGGACGAGCATTTCCCTGAGGCAAGTGCAGATAAAGACTGTCCGCTGGGTATGTTTTTTACAGGATAATACATAATTGTAATGAATATACAAGTACTACTACTACTTGGAAAACTTGTCTAACTCTTCAAATATTCTCCACCCTATTCTTTCTGCTCACCATTTTCAAAGCACATCATAGTTCAGGCGGGTAAAGTGTATCCTATAGTCTACTATAGCGTACAGCTTTGATTTCAAATGAATTTAGCAACAAAAGAGATATAAAAAAACAAACAACTAAAGTCAAATCATCATCCATGCATAGTTACTTATGTAATTACACATACACTTGCATATGACTGACACACACACACACACACATATATATAAATATATGAATATATTTGTACAATTATGGAAATTATGCACATACATAACTTCAAGCAAGTAAATTTAAAGCCAAGTCTAGCGTTAAGCCCAGCAAAGCATAAGCCGAAAATCCAAATACTAAGCAATAGTTGAACGAAAATAAAATATAAATAACAAATTTATCTCACAGCTAGTAAACAACAACATATTCAATTTGTAAAAGTAAGATACATATTCTCAAACTACATAGTCCCGAAAGTTGTCAAACGAGGCGAGGTACTGAACAAAATAAACAAACAACAATAAATGTCTACATTATTAATGAAACTTACTTGCATTTTGAATTCAATTTCTCAACAGTCTCTGATTCCCTTAATTTGAAGGGAAATAAACTCATCTCTCTTACAGCTGTCACTATTTCCTATAATAATGTATTGCATATATATTGGAACTCGATTTCGACATTATTTTATACATTTTTAAGAATTTTTTGTCTACAAGGTGAGGACAATCCCAAGGATGGTGACGCCAGTATTTGTCATTTGAAAATTTTACGCTATATTGAATACTACATGTAGGAAATACTTTCCTTCCGTCGGAAATGGGTCAAGATGAGAACCATAACTTATTAAGCATCGCTGATAATACACGTACCCCTCGCTTAACAAGGGCATAGCGTTCCCGGAAGAAATCTTGTGTTAAACGAGACATGGCCTCCATACAAAAGTTGGGGGTCCAAACATTTTCAAAATGCACAAAAATTTACTTCAGCTGTTGCATATTCATATTCTTCTCAGATAAAATTTATTAGAAAGGTAGATATTTTTAAATATAAACTATTTTAAAGCAGTTTAATACAAAATTTGAGCTCCAGCTTTTAAATTATATTTGTAGCTCATTCTATAAGATACAAATGTTTTTTCCAACCCTTTCTTTTGATGAGCAAATCGGAACATAAATTTCCGAGCTGGTAGCAAATGCGAATACATCTTGAAGTTTTTCTATGGTTAAACGATTTACATTTAGAATTAGTTTCTTCAGAGTTGCTCTCATTTGATTTTAACTTACTCTGTTCATTCATAGCAATTTCAAATGATAATTCATTATGCATGCCTTTAACTTAAAAAAAAAACACACACACACACACCAACAATATGCATGTCTTCAAACGCTGAAAATTCAATTAAATAAGCAAATTCAAATAGAATAACAGAATTCACATTGGGACAATTGTATTTCGTGGTTTGAAATAACCGCTGGCCATACTTTCTTCCAAAATCCATTCAATATTACCTCCTTAAGCTCTTCTAACCAATTAAAGCAATAGGAAATTACTTCCCAGGACGGATTAATTCAGTTTCAGTTGTTTCGGAAATGAATGGAGCCTCTTCAAACGGCTTCGATGTTGGCTGCCAGAAGCCAGTATTGTTTTCTCAGTTTGGTGCTTAATTGCATGCCCTTGTGCCTGGCCAGAATGACCCCCAATCGTAATTCATAGTCGTGGTAAACGGAAAGACGTCACCAAATAGCACCACCGCTATAGCGAAAAGTGAAAGTAACCTGTACGGATTTTCTACCGACGGTATCAAGAAATCTGTATCTGCAGCGTACGTTGCTACCAACCGGACTGGCTCCTTCAACACGGCCATATCGGCGGTTAACAGCTTGAACAGGAGCGAGCCGAGTGCACCGACTCATGTGCATGTAAATTTAAGAATTTTTCGAATTCTCATCGAAAACAAGACATATAGTTGTATTTATACAGCTAGAGCTGTAACAACTTACAGATTTTATTCGAAAATCTAACTTAATATGAAGTGTGCCAATCCGTTCGAATTATTCGAGGCGACTCAAAAAAATTTAAAAAATAACCGATGTACCATTCATTTTAGTGGCAATATTATGTGATGCATTAACTACTGTGCTTTACTGCTACCGTTTGGGTACAGGGTGAAAGGGTATACTAACATACATATAGAAGGTAATTATCATTAAGCTGGTATTTATGTATATTGTCCTATGCCCTAAGTAGGACAAAGAGGGGGCCAAAAAATTTAAATTTTGTTTAAATAATGCACGATGCGTTAAAATAATAACCTTTGCATATAATCAATAGAAAAATTTCAACAAATCCAACTCAGTTCCATTTTAAGGCAAAATAGTACGTCATAAAATTGAATGTAATGTCCCAGCGTACGCCCTTGGTAGGACAAGTTAAGAGGTTGTTTGCCAATTCATTACCGTAATACTTTTGAGAATTTGATAAGAAGATCCTACTTGTGCAAGGTAGGTATTATGCGGTAATACTTTTATAAGTATGCTATTTAATGTCTCATTATATAAATCATACAAAAGATTAGTATTTTTTGGGCTTGGGGAGATTTTTTGTAAGAGTCGGCCCAAGTCAAATTTGACTTTGAATACCAACTATCGGCTTGTATGAAAAATTGGTATTCATAAGCCCCAAGTAAGGGGGCTCCCCCACTCATCAGCCATGAGTGATTTTTCCACAACTTCTTTCTTGGAAGTTTTTGCCTAATTGCCTAACAATTATGCGAATTCGTTTTGTTTTATTCTGATATGTCAATTGTTAATAAATTTGCAGTCAAATAAGTATGAGGCATTTGGCTCTAGCTATCCATTTTTGTTAAAACGCGAGTTTTGGTCAAATTTATTCACAAATCCCTTGAGAACTCAGCAATGGTTATTGCCAAAAATATGCTAATACGAATGAAAATACCGCCTGGATAGGAAATATCGTATAGTACATACTTAGCCGACTTCACCTTCGATCCTGTCCGTGCAGAAGCACAATTGTGAGATTAGCATTAATTACACATTTGGCAAATTAACAATTCTGCATAATCAAAGAAGCGAAAAATGGGTTTCATGCATTTTCCAGCCAGTTGGCATTCATAATCGAAAGCGCCTGATTGCATGATTGCATCTGCTAATTATTTTCAAGATGTATCGGACTTAGGCAGAGCTCAAAATTATGCAATAACCTCATGCCAAGAAGCCGCATGCGTGCACACATCTGCACATATTCATCGATACATACATATGGACATAGATATGTATATATGAACATGCGTAAATGGGCGTAGCCAGGATTTAGTCCAGGGGGAGCAGGATTTTTTTGTCGATTTTTTACTAACAAATTATTTGATCTATACAAAAACACATGAGAAAAATGGAAAAATGAAATAATGAAAATGTGTCCATCTATAGATTTCAAATGCAATAAAATGTAAAAAAAAAACTTGCTAAAAAATAAGAAGATTTGTGATCGTGGAACTAATATAGAGTTGGTCCCGTGCGACATCGAGAGTGTAAAATTAAACAATTTGAAATTTTGTTTTCTTGCATAATTGATCAATTTTTGATATACTCGTATATACATACGTGTACATACTTTACAATTATTGAAATCGTGAATAATACTGGCGGCGAAAAAAATAAAGAGGCGTGCAAACGGAGAGAAAAATATATAATTTTTCTAATGGGTGGTGCTCTCAGTTTGCAAATCAATTTGATAGTATCAAGTCTAGTTAATTTTCTAAAAAGAATTCGTATGCTTCCCAGTTGAATAGAATTTTTTTGCAAGCTAACATGGAATGGGAACCGTACCTGGAGTCGGGGCAGTTATCAAAAGGAAGGTATGGCAGATAAAGAAATCGAAAATCATTTTGTTTCGACAGTTCAGAACTGAAACTGTATTTTCTGAAATACATTTATATTTATTTATTTTAAGTACATAAAGATTGTTCGCTTGATATGTAGTTAAGTCTGATTTTATTTGCTGCCCGCTTTGCACCACCCCCCTTGCTACGGCCATGCATGCGTGTGCTTTGCATATGTAATCGAGTCAGCGAGGAGTACACACACACACACACACACACAGATATGTTGTACACACTCAAGTATTTACTTGTGCATAGAGGACACCCCGACCCGGTTGGGTCGAGGAACCCTGCCTCCAGCCCCCGACCAGCAGAGATTTATGGATGTTGCCTGCTGCGACCTGAGCAGATTAAGGCACGCCGCATTCGCATCAAATTGAAATTCAGGCAAATGTCAACGGCAGCAGTCGCTCTCGACAAGCGGCATGTGGCTTTCGAGCGCCTCGCGAAGCGCTTTTGGCCAAAAATCCACATAAATAACTCTCGCATCAAGTAGCCGCCGTTGTCTCCGTGGCCGTGGCAAAGACTGAGCAAAAGCCGTTCGGCTTGTTTCTGCGAATGGCAGGTGCAACTCAATCAACGCTGCCACTTCTGCGTTGCTTGGCATCTGGCATGTGGAGCTGATCTTTAGCTCTCCTCTTGGAGAGAGTCTACGACGAGGCGAGGGGTCTTGACGCCACCTGCCAAAAGCTTTACATGCCATACGTACGAGTTCCTGGTTTTGTGAGATTCAAAATTTTAAAAATTACACACACATACTATACATATCTATGATTGGCCTAATATTCTCTTTTATACTATATTCCTCGAATAGTATACTACTTGTATATAGCCGACCTCTTTAACTTTACCCTGATTAAGCTAATTTCTTTTGTTCTTTGTTTATTATAATAAATAAAATAAAATAAACAATATAAAATTTAGGAATTGAGTAAATATTTCACCATAGATGGCATTCATCAGGTAGTTTTTAAAACATTACATGTTGCTGAAGATATTAAATTTAGTTCATTCTGAATACACTATTTCGTTTAAGATTGTACAACTAAATGAGTAGCTATTGGGACAAGGGCGTACGCAGGGGGGGGCCGTTGCCGTTCGATGAGGACGAACCACATTCAAAACTATAACAACAAATGCATCCACTGATGAAGCACACATTAAGCAAATCAAAGAATTTGTGCTTTATAGTAAAATCGTCGATTCATAACTAGAGATATTTCTGATTCTGTTGGCATTTCTAATTAATCAGTTAACACGTTTTTAAGAAAACTTTTGTGAAATCTTGAGGATTGGAAAAAACATTGGCATATGTGGATTGCAGCCGGAGGAGATAAGATGTAGTAAAATTTTTCGATAAAAGAAATGATTATGAATAAAAAGAAATTTTGAAAAATATAACCAAATCCGAATATTTTTTGAATTCCTAAAAAAAACAACATATGACTGTCCATCTAATTGAGATTGCAACTTGTTGTTATTCCGGTTTGCAACACAGACACGCCAGATACCCAATATTCAATTAATTGAATCCAATTTTATCTGAATATATGATTTAGTTCAAGATTGGGCAACTACGACATCAAAACTTCTTCCACCAAAATAACCTTGACCTCCCTGTTTAGCCCCTTTTTAAGTAAATCCCACCTTAGCAGAAATCGGACCTAATTATTTTCGAGCAAATAATACTTCTTCAATCGCAGTTCTGTGATTTGAGCGGTTTTCTATACACCGTACCAGAAAAGTGAAATGGTACACTAGAAATGTACTGATTGTCTGCAACAGACTAGGGGAAGCGTGGCAGACGACTCCTTGTTAGGGGGGAGAGTCTATATACTCAGACATTGTCTTATCCAAGTTTATTACATACCATAACCATACATATATCTATGTATATAGCCTTAAACTTCTTCAGTACGATTCATCCTTTTTTTATTATAATATGAATTTCTCTTTTAAAAATAATCACTTAATTGTTAATAATATATTTATCTATTATATATTATCTTATATATAAGAAATTAAGCGTGAAAATTGCATTTCAATCTGGATCGCTTTTTTTAATTTCCAATCCCTTATTAAAATCCCTCATTATAAGTAGCAGGCAAATTGATACCTTGAATGATTCCTTTCCTTTCTGACTTTTTTTACACGAATTAGAATTAGATGTATTTTGTTTTAGAAAGTATATCAGTGTTAAACGGTTTTTTAATAATCTAACAAATAAAATATATATAGAGACAAATTAACATATTTAGCGACGAGCTGTCTAGACTTACTAGACTGACTTAGAAATACTTCCCATTGAATGTGATGGCATTCGACTAAAAAGGTTCAAACTTCAAAGCCATACGAATGCAATGGCTTTGTCATGTCGGCTATGTTTATACGAGTATGGCACATTGTTAAAATAAAACACCATTCAGCACAGCCATCACACACGTATATCTATCAGACGTCTTGGTTCACAACAACTTTATGAGCCATTGCCAATTGACCCTGAAAGGCAATTATGTTGTCTGGACATCGAACACTTGCCATTTGTTGTTGCTCTCACCTACCATTTGCAGTCAATTAGTTGGCTATCAACCTGTACGTTCCAGGCGATTAGCACAAAGCAAGGAAACCAAAGTCATTGAGTCACAGTCAGGCGACTACTGATGTCCTGGGATGTCCTTTCTTCATTGCTACCCAAGAAGCTGCACGCTGGGACAGTCATTTACAACAGCCTGGAAATTCGTGCGGGCAGGCAAAGGACCAACGAATTAAGTGAGAGAGTCAAAAAGAAAAATAAATAGCGGTGTACTACTTTTTATAAACTCTAACACAGTTTTTTCTTTAGACTAGCAACAAATACATTCAATCGACATCTTCTTCCTCATAGATTGGCTCCTTTAAGAATAGCTTGAGACGCAGTGCATCCGCTCCATTTAAATAGTACCGTTTCAGCCTCTTCTCCCGTATGAATCCGAGGCTATCGTATAGCCGTAATGCTGGCCGATTCGTCAGCTCCGTCTCAAGTACAATTTCGTCAGCCTCTCCTAGAACCATGGTGTCGATGGCCTTCTCAGTGAGTGTGGTGCCAATCTTTAGCCTACGGTAAGCTCCATCAACCGCTAACATGGCTATATAGCCTCGTTTCAAGCCACCATGTGGCTCGAGCTTGCAGACAATTACGCCCACATACTTATCCCCGTGCCGGGCAAAAAAACAAAGATGCGGCCAAGTGTAAATGAAGTAGCGGTACGTATAAATCGAGTACGGCTCGGACAGCTCCCTGTCTATCAGGCCCTTGACGGAAAGGAGCTGCGATTCTTCTCGAAAATCACTATAGTCTATCTGTGGTATGCTTTGGGTGCCTTCCTTCATCAGTTCATCGTTTTTACTTGACTCTATAATTTCACTTTCACTGTCAATGCTCGCTTTTTCATCTTCCACACTTATCTTTGCCTCAATCCTTTCAGTCATAGTTGCTTCATTTTTTAACAATTTATGTGTGTAACTCAAATTTTGAACAGAAAATCAAATTCGTCCCCTCTGGAGGCGGAAAAAGATCAAAATTAAGTTTTTCATCTATACTTCTATACCTAATATTATAAACAGGAAATATTTAATTGTTTGTTTGTACAAGATATATATGAATTGAATAGGCTCCGAAACTACTGGATCGATTTAAAGGATTCTTTCACTTTCACACTATCCCCGGAAGAGATTTGCAGAAAAGATATTATAACGTTATAATGTAACCCAAGATGTAAAAAAATTAGCTCAAAAATTTCCTGAACAGGATGCTGTTAATTCCTCAAAACATTATGACACTTTAAATATTAAAGCAATATGATTCAAAAATCCCCAGCCAAAGAAATATTAAAAATCGGTCAACACCATGATTAATATTAAAGACACAGACCATTTAAATTCTAGACTGCCGCTACACAAATTGAAGTTAAAAAGTGGAATTCCAATAATGATTTTGAGAAATTAATGCCCTACGAGCAATAGGACGAGGCTGCTTATTAGGAAACTGCAGGACAATTTAACTGTAGCAACCATTATCAACGGCCCAGCAGCTGGTCAACTGATCTGTCAATCCCATTTAATCGTAAACAACATCTTTCGTGTTGACTATTTACAAGCCTTAAGGCCAAACCTTCGAATTAGTAAGGATCGACCTACGAAAGGAATGTTTTACTCATCACCAATTCAATGTTGGATTAGAGCCAAGGGCGTAGGCACATAAAGTCGACCACACGCTCATTATTATGACGCAATATATCGCCTTAAAATGGATCTGAGCTGGATTTGTTGAAGTTTTTCATTGATCATATGCATAAGTTATTTTTTAAATGCATCGTGCATTATTTAATCAAAATTTTAATTTTTTGGCCCCCCTTTGGTAAAAGGTGCCTACGCCCTTGATTAGAGCTCCTGAAAATCATTTTATTTTGCTGCCACAAAATAATGCAACATCAAATATCGTCTACAGAGAAGCTCTGATTCAATAAAGAATAACAAGAAACTCTAAAAAAGAATAACATCCCACCTTTTTATACCCTGTACCCAAAGGGTACAAGGGTATATTAGTTTTGTGCGAGTGCACATGGAACACACAGAAGGAGGCTTGGTAGACCCCACAAAGTATATATATTCTTGATCAGCATGACAAGCCGAGTCGATATAGTCATGTCCGTCTGTCCGTCTGTCTGTCCGTCTGTCTGTCTGTATGAACGCAAGGATCTCCGAAAGTATAAGAGCTAGAATAACCAAACTTGGTATACAGATTCTCCTGAGACCGAGAAAGGACGAGTTTGTTCATTTTTTCTGATCCACCCCCCCACTCCCCCCCCTATTAACGATTTTCTATAACTCCCGTAATTCTTGAAATTTTGAACTAAAATTTGGTAGACACGCATAAGGCACGCATAAGGCACGCATAAGGCACGATTCTGATGTAAATGTAAATGTATATGTATGCATGCATATAATATTTTATATTTAATTTAGTTAATTAATTAAATTAATTAAGTTAATTAATTAAATTTAATTAATTAATTAATTAATTTAATTACTTTTTTGTGGGGTGGTACAGGGTATTTAAGAGTTGAGCCTGCTCGACTTTAGCATTCCTTTCTTGTTATTTCATAACTCATAAAAGTTATCATTTTTGAAATAATAGTGAAAAATCCGTGCGAAGCAGGGGCGCGACGCTAGCAATCCATAATTGAAATTCATCAAAAAAAAAAAAATTAATCGTATATATTAATGGAATAAACTCTAGATTTAATTTTAACCGAGAACCTCGCCTATATAGCCTAGCCTATAGGAGATCGAATATATTTGGATCGATGTGTCATGCTAAAATCTATACATATTTCCACTGATGTGCCTGTCGAGTTCATCAACATTGTAAAGAATAGTCCTCCGTTAGTTTAAAGAATAAATATTGCGTGCTGCAGAGTTATGGAATTTCAAGAAATTTTTGCATGAAGCAATTATTTTAGCACGGCATTCCATTTGCAAATAATATAATGCTATTATTATAAATTATGCTTCTATATTACTTTAACAGTGCTACTTTGTTAGACAAAGATAAAAGACACATTTGTGTGGAATTATTGTAACAATGTTATAATGTGATGGGCCTCCATTCACGCATATATGTATACATATACACGTGCATACTTCCTAGCAGGTGACATTCTCATTGGCCTTGATTATGGGCTGTCGTCGCTTGGGGACGTTCTCTATAATATCATTAGTCCCAGTCCATAACAGGAGCAATTAAACGCCTCGCGCCCAAGCCAGACAGAGCTGCTTTCCTTGCTGGCAGGCGGAAACTCAACACGCACACCCACCTGGGACACAAGCTTGTGAAAATTATGAAAATGTCTGCCACGACTCTGACAGTTGCGCCGCCTACATGTGCTCCTTGGCAGCTGCCAACGCGAAAATCCTTTGTTGTCTGCCACCACTGTTGCAGGGAGCGTCGAAAAACGCTGGCGAAATTACCTGTTCGCACGCACAGCTGCAGGGAGCGGGTTGACTGGGACTGGGAACTGGGTGGAAGGCAGTGCCAGGCTGGGCCAAGCTGCACCCAGCAAGGAGTCCCGGTGCTGGCTGTTTATGCAGAAATTAAAACTAATTTTATGTTTATGCCGCGATGATTGGGGCCGTTTGCTGAGCGGCTGTTGATAACACCCGGAGTCCGGAGTGCGACAAGACGACACAAACGAAGCACCGATGACCTCATGGCAACACGCCCCCGGACATGAACTATTAATTGTCTCATGATTGCCGACTGTTTGACTTGTAAGTCCCAGACAAAAGCAATTAACCTAAAAGGCCCATAAACGAATCCGAGCTGTGAAACTGCCGCTTGCAACTGCTGGCTGTGATTAGACGCCCAGGAAGAGCTGGGGACGCTCAGGTGAGCACGGGAAATTCAATACAGCCCGGAGTGTTGAGTTTTCGGCACTTTGTGAGCTTAAATCTATCGTAGTTATCCTGTTTGCCCGACTTGTTTGTGTTGTGTCCAGAGGAAGGCTTTACCGGCTGTGCATTTATGCATCGCTTCGGTCAATTGACATTTAATTTGTTTGCCAAGTAAACTGTAATATATCCTTGCCCCCACCACTGTTTGCAGCAAAATTGTCGTCCCTTATGCAATGCAAATTAAATCCTTGTTGCCCCTGCCTCACTGCTACGTCTAGACACTCCCAGTTGCGGTCACACAAAGGCCTATTATTTTTACATTTCTGCGACAGACCGCTGGCATCCATAGTGGAGTTGCAGGTGCGGCGACGTCGACGCTGCTCACTATTTTCTAATTACTTTTACCGTTGTTTTCAGAGAGGACGTCAGGCGTCTAGGTTGTTATGAGTATCCACCTAATAAAGAAACGTTAAAAAGGCAGTACAAGACTATATACGAGTATATACATTACTGGCAAGGCAAGCAAAAGAAAGTCGTTGGGAAGAAAATTAATTCGCTTTCAAAGTAACCTTCAAAGTACCTCAAATAGTGGCAGTTTATAAAACAATTGTAATTGAAAAAGTGCTCGTGTCTTATTTTAATATTATTGTGACAGCATTTCTTGATGACCCCCATGCGAAAGTCTATTTAGATCACAAGCACTATAACTAGGCAGATGCTACCTTAATAGAAAAGAATTCGGAGACCTAACAGACATGAGAATTATGTAGAGCTTGCTTTAATAGAAGATAATTCTGACACCTCGATCCATTTCTTCAATGACTTCCAAATTAATCTCAACTAATAATAATTTATTCCAACTTCATATTTTTCAAGCGTGTAAGTGGCGCCCAGCTTGAATGAGATTGAGACTCTACACCATGTACAATATATTTAACCCACCAATGCATATTACAGTATTTCCGAAGAGCATTTAAAATTCCGCCATTGCAGTTACGTTTTGGTCCTCGTGTTTAAGGGAAGAGAGAAGAAATAGGAACCGACATCATGCAATTAGTTTGCCATTTTTACTGTTTTCTATCCAAAGCCCTGCACAGCCATAAAAGATTAAAGAACAAAGGGCTGTTGACTGTTTTATCCTGCCGACGGCTGCTCTGGCTGTAACACTTTGAGGACCAGGCCATCTCCCCTAGATCCGACCCCAACGAAAGGAGAGAGTTACGCGACAGTAAAGAGGCCAAGCACCATTTCTAGCAAGCCCCCATTTGACTGCAACCCTTCTTAGGTTTTGCCAACATGTTTGTTAAGCTTTTTTTAAAATTGCTCGCCGGCCAGGCCACAGAAATTAATTATACTATAAGGACACTCCACAAAAAGGACATTGCAGTGGCACCAAGTGTTTAATGAAGCGGTTAGCCAAGCTAGAAAAAGGCGACGTACTATATACGAGTATGTAGCTGCAAACGAGCCAAGAGCTCAAAAAATGGCAACGCATTTCCATATTCACATGCGCTGGGGACCCAATTCTGCAAATGTGTTGAGAGAGATAAATTCCCTTACTTTTTCTGCATTGTTTCGAGGGTCAACCGGCCCCAAATTGCTGAAAGAATCATCTGCAGCAGCTCCACTGCCAGCTGCCCACCTGGCCTATTGTCATGACCATTAAAGCCGCTGCAGTTTATTAAAACTGAATTGCACAGAGCGCGTGGCCTGTGGTGCTGGCTGCCATTAAATGAGTTACGTGTGGATCCAGAATAAGTTTACTTCACTTGTTTCTGTTGACGCTGATGCGATTCAGGGGTCCGACATTCCATGGCACAATATTTCAGCTGGCCTTATGACAGGTACAAGAGCGCAAGAGACCTTTGATAAGCGCTCACATGCTGGAGCTGGAGCGAAGCTTGGACGAAGACGAGAAGGAGAACGAGGACGGACTGTCCGGTGCTATCCTACCCTGTCCTGTCCTGTCCTGCCACATTTCTCGTAGCCGTAGCTCGTGTTTGGCTGTCTACATTCGTTCAGATAAAGGCACGCCCGGCCGACAACTGCGAGATGCTTTCTGCTCATCAGCGTCTGTTTGGCGATATGATTGTTGTTGTTGCTGTTCTTGTTGTTGTTGTTGTTGTTGTTGCTGGGGCCGTTGTCGTCAGCATTTATAAGTTGGCAGCAGACACACAAGTTGAAACAAAAGCCAAGCCAGAGACACAATCGCAGGTTGATTTCTGTGGCGCGTGGGCAGCGCCCGAGGATGCGTCCATGGACCATTCAGCTCCAACCTGCCGACGCGGGCATTTGACACGGTCGCGTGCTCGAATTGTTCAGTTTTCTTTGGAATTCCGCACATGCATGTGGGTATGAATATGTCAATGTAATGGCTTGTCCACTCTTTCCATTCCCATTCCCACTCCCCTCCCGATTCCCGTCGCTGTCTGCCGTTTTTCATTCTCTGCACTTTGTGAATTACATAAATATTAACTTGTACTTTTCATAAACATGTGCTCCGCCCAAGAGGCGAGGAGCGGGATGCTCTGTAGGACCCAGGACCCAAGTACAGAGACAGAGTGCAGCTTTGAATGATTTTATTGATTTTCTTTGATTTATTTACTGCCCATTCAGCAACTCGTCTTTCGGACCTGCACATTTGCATACACACTTGTACATAGTTGATAGCATTTTTCAATTCTTAGGGGACAGGTACATGCACGTATGAACATATATCGAACGACATGACAATTGACCTTTAAGGTAAAATAACATCCACGTAAGTGTAAAATTAAATTGTGAAATGAAAAAAAAAATAAATAAATTTGTGGACTTAAATTGGGAAATTTCTGATAAATTAAATTAAAATATTGTGGGTGCCCTCCTCTGCGATTCTCATACCAAGTACCTAAGCGCTGGCAAATCGAGAATTAAAATGTGAAACTTCTGAAAAATTAAATAATAATATTGTGGGTGCCCTCCTCTGCGATCCTCATACCAAGTACCTAAGCGCTGGCAAATCGAGAATTAAAATGTGAAACTTCTGAAAAATTAAATAATAATATTGTGAAATTAAATTGTGAAATTTCTGAAAAATTAAACAAATACCTAAGTGCTGGCAAATCGACAATTAAATTGTGAAACTTCTAAAAAATTAAATAATAATATTGAGGAACTAAATGTTGAAATTTCTGATAAATTAAATAAAAATATTCTGGTCGCCGTCCTCCGCGATTCTCAGAAGAAGTATCTAAGCGCTGGCAAATCGAGAATTAAAATGTAAAACTTCTGAAAAATTAAATAATAATATTGTGAAATTAAATTGTGAAATTTCTGAAAAATTAAACAAATACCTAAGTGCTGGCAAATCGAGAATTAAAATATGAATCGCCTGAAAAATTAAATAATACTATTGTGGAATTGAATGGTGAAATATCTGATAAATTAAAGAAAAATATTGGGGCTACCCTAATCTGCGATTGTTATACCAAGTACTACCAAGCGATAGCAAATCGAGAATTAAATTGTGAAATTTCTGAAAAATTAAATTATTATATTTTAAAATTAAATTTGTGAAATTTCTTATAAACTAAATAAAAATATTGTTGGCGCTCTCCTCTGCGATTCTCATACCAAGTACCTTAGCGCGGGCAATCGGGAATTAAATTGTAATATTTCTGAAAAAAAAAATTATATTTTGAAATTCAATTGAAATGCATTGTAACGGTGCATTTTATGGTGCTCTTGGAGTAGATCTTAGGCAGTGCCTTTATTGGGTAGAAATAAAAACGAAAGAAAACACCAAAAATACAAACTTATCTAACTAAGAGTATCACTCCATTGTACTTATAAACATCTTTCTTTATTCCTTAACATCCTGCAACTCACTTATAAAAAGTACTCTTCATTGTATTTCATTTTTCCAAAGGTAGTTTTAACATCCAATTGATAAAGAATTATTAGTTTATCATCCAGTCCCCCGGGATTAGTGATTTTCCGTCGTTTTCTTTCTCAGACAGTATAAAGGTTAGAATAATTAAGTCCGAAAAATGATAAGATTGTATTTAAACTAAACTATTCGACCAAACATTGTTCTTACCATATAGAATTGAAGGACTTGTTGCAATTGCAATTAATATGTATACTTATTGATACGATTTGTTTTTATTTAATTACATATAATTACATGGTTTAACAAAATTCTTACTTCCATATTTGTGTTTGTACTCTAAAATACATCTTATGTATAAGGAACATATGATTGATAATTGAGCAACACAAAACACTTATAGTACACTAAATTTAGCCAATTCTGAACTGTAAGCTTATGGACCTAATCCTAAATCTCATACACATACATACACATACTTGTATATATGTATGTATGTAAATATATATGTATGTAAATATTGAAAATGTATGTGTATGTATATAGATATATGTATATGCTTATGTGCATACATATATGAATAAGTACATTAATTGCCAAAGATAATTGAGATTGAGCTTACATGTTACATAACTTAACTTTGCAAAGATTTTAGCATTTTATCGACACATTTTTGCAGAGCATCGGTAGCCACATCAATCTGCTGCTCCATAATTTCGCATAGCAGGTCCCAGGTCAACAACTGCTCAATTAAATTTTTCTTAACAACAAATGCTGGTACCTCTATATTGATGCGGCGGCACCGCCAATGCGGCTTTAGTGGCGGCACGCAGATTTGGTTAACAACAATTTCGTCATCCTGAAGTTCCTCCAAAATGACGCATGCATCATCTAATTGTTGGTGCGATTTAAGAAGTGACTTAGGTTTTTTATGTGTAGTAGTGCGACGCTTTTTAGGCTCCGGTATTGGCAAAGGCACTGGATTAGAATCAGGCTTTCGCTTTTCAAGATTGTAATTTTTCCGCCAAAGAGACTCCAAACTGGGAAGCGATTTTTTCTCAGATCTACTGAGCAAGTTATCCACACTAAGACTGTCGATAGTTTCTTGAATCACATGCCCAAAAAAGCTGTGCGATTCGGAAATCCAACTAGGTATAGCTTCTTCCTTTTTAAGAGCCTTCTTTTTGGACGTCATGTCGATATCATTATATAATGCCTTACCAAATTTGGCGCTGAAACTGTTTGTTTTTAAGAAGAAACGAGCATAACAAGAAGATTGGAAGAAGATGCCAACTGTTTGAAATATCAATGTGTACATACGCTGTTAGGGGAAAAATTGAGTCTCTGTATTCATATTGCCGCCATTATTTAAAAAACAATAGTTATTCGTAATATCTTTTTATTAACTTTATATTACAAAAGCTATTTAAAAATAGTTTATATACTCTATTGGTGCTGTTATACTTTAGTGCGCTAGCAATGGCAGTGTTAATTTCCACAAATGCAGTCTATAATTTTAATTTCAAAATTCAACTTTGAATTTGAAACCAATTACAATTTACTTTTATGTCTAGCCTGAGGTAGGATTGCCCAAAACACGTACACTTTAGTTTAAGGCCATGGAATTTTCATAAGTTGTATTTGATCCAATGGAAATGGTGTTTGTTTAGTAGAGCTTTGTCTATTGTTTCAGTTGTAATGGCAAAATATATAGTCCTAGACTAACAAAAAATACAATTTTGACGAAAAAGTTTAGTTCGTTTAATTTAGGTTTATATTAAGTCTAATAGCCTACAAGCTTGAATATCCTTGAGCTTTATGCATTGTGTCTGAGAATACGTCTAATCAGTTCAATTTCTTGTAAATATAGATACTTTTTGATAAATTTCAATTTCAAAAACGTTGTACTTTGAAGCTACCTTTAAAAACTATGATCGATTGCGTAGTTTTCATAATGAAAACGGACATACGAATGTATGGAATTTTTTATTATATTACATAATATATATTATACATGATAAATAGATACTGACACTGCGTGCATTGCCCGCATTCAATCAAAGAAAAAAACAATTCACTTGCCAGTTAAGAAACAAAAACAAATTAACGAAAATGTTAACAACCAAAACAAAAACATAATTGCCATCATAATCCAGCGCTGGCGTTCAAAAAACAAGGCAACTTAAAGCTAGGCCAAGCTCAGACTTGGAAGTCATTGAAGTATGTTTCGGTGAATCGAATATTCTCCATGCGCATGTTGAAAACCCCATTGAGCACATTGAAGGCAATAGCAAAAACAACGCAGGCAGTGTAAATGCCCAAAGCGATCCACCAGAGAAGCTGTTCGTGCAGCTTCTGCTCGAAGTTCTTCAGCACCAAAAGGCCAATTGTAAGTCCCGCTACAGCGCCTGCCAAATGCGCGACATACGAAACAGCATCTGAACTGACCAGCGTAGTTGAGAGCGTACTGGTAAGCGATTCTTCTCCCGCGTACCGCGCATAAATTGCAAAACCAAAATCAAACGAGGCTGTAAATTCACAAGGACATGACGAATAACTTTATATAGCAAATATCACACGCACACTCTTACCAAATATAAGTATACACGCCAGACGCATGACGCCGTATCGCATCTGATGGTAGTTGAGCAAGACATTGGCCAGATGTGCGGCCAAAAGCGCATAGACGCCGCCACTGGCGCCAACAAGAAACACGTCCGGGTCGAAAATGCTGGTGCCTGAGAAGACAGAAAAGTATAAACAAGAAATTGTGTGTTATTCCGTAAAGCCTACCCAAGGAGCCGGCCAGCACGCCCGAAAAATATATGCAAGCAATGCGCGACGAGCCATGTACCATTTCGAGCGGTAGGCCAAAGAGCAGCTGCACCATCACATTGAATCCCAGATGGAACCAGCCAGCGTGCACCATCATATAGAGAAGAAAGCGCCAGATTTCATGCCGTTTGTCCGGTCTATAAATGAATAAGGAGTCGGTGGGTATAGGACCCGTGGGTGCGGCCTCGCCAACGACCAACGTATGATATACAAAAAATCCAAGTTCAATGATTGTCACCAGTATAATGAAGAACGGCGGCGGACAACAGGTATATCGATCCGCATAGTACTTGCGGTCGCGCTCCTCTGGTAAAATCTCCACAGCCACAACGTGTACCATTTTCTTAAAAAACGGTGGCTCGTTAAGCACCAACTGAAAGTCGTTTTCAGAGCAGACCTCGCGATCCCGATGATGCACAGCGCATTTAAAGCTACGTGTGCGCTTGCCGCTCATCTGCAAGAAAATATTTAAATTGAATTTAATCCCTCCGAACTTATGATACTACGAAGCATTTTTGTATGTATACGGAGCTGGCAATCAGAAACAACACTTAAGTGACCTCAACAAGTCTCTCTTGCCTAGGATGCCCTTAATTTGGATTGCCATGAAAACTTAATCAAGCCAATCCTATATGAACTCAGTACAACTGCAAAAATCATACTGCCTACAACAGAATTTCCAACAATAAATACCGATACAGTTGTAACACAAACAATACAAACCGCAGAATGAAGATATTGGATATGATAATATCGGAACATGCCGACAACACAAATCGCATTATGGAACATGCCATAGGCTATGTGGTCTCAGAGAACGCTACCGGAAACGTGGCTGCCACTTCATTGGACGAAACCACCGCCAACGCAATTGCCAAGCACATTAATGGCATTCTAGTTCCCACTGCACAAAGCGCCGTGCGGGATATGGAGCCCAACAATAAGTTGTGCTACCTACGGATTGCCACACGAAAGTATGAGTTTCTCATTGCACCAGAAGATCAATTCACCGTCACAGTCATGCAAGAAGGTGTTGAAAATGATTTATATGACGAACAATAAATATTTCTAGTCATTGATTAAAACGCAAAAAATAAATAAAACAAAAGGCAAATTAAGCAATTAGCAATTATATACATTAACTTCTATACATTTATCAACTTCTATACATATCTATTTGTATAGCTGAGCGAAGAGATTTTTTACCTAGTATATTGCAATATAAGAAACGCCTAATATATATGATACACATTTGAAATGGATTTGAATATACATATTATATTATGGCTATTAATAATCATCAGAAATAAAAATAATAAATTTATCCTCAACAATGATAAAGTAAAATATACCCCGGTGGGATAATTAATAATTTATATCGGAAATACCCACTGGAAATTGTTTTTTGATTTGTATTGTTCATTCATGGTGGCACGATTATCATTCTTAAATGCAATACAAATGCCTTAGTATAACAAATAAACGTAAGGCAAATAAACAATTTTGGCAAACCTATTTGCATTTCTATATTTTAATGGATTTTTATGCGAAGCACTACAAAGGTTTATTATCTTAATAGACAGAAGAAATATGGGCAAAATCTTTCTGAAAAATTCAAAAAGCCAGAGTCGGCCCAATTGTGGTCATATCTGTGAGCCAAATCTGCAACATTAAGTTTTTACCCCCTTAAAACTAAACGAGCCATAAAATTATGAAGAAACAAGTGTAGGAAAGTTGTGCGAATGTGTAACTCAAATCGCACAGCAAAACTACATTTTTTGTATGTAATTAAGATGTTCACAGAAGATGCGAACGTACACAATTAAGGCGCTCATAAAACTAACCATCCACAGCAACAACAATAGTAACTGCGCAAATGACAGCACAAAAAATCTGCAAACGGCGGAAAATGTGTATTGTGTTTAATTAAAAACAACGGCAGCTACAGCTAAAGCGATAGCAAGAAAATCCAAATGAAGCCTACACGCAATTACAAATTCACGATTACAAAACACAAATCCCACCATTTAAGTCTGTCATCAGAGAAGCAAACTAGTACTCCGGCAAAATACTTACATCCGCTTGTCTCCGATGGGCCTGTTATGATAGGGGAGGAGAAACGGGGAAGGTGGCGGTGGCGATAAATCCATTGGCACGCGTTTTTACTTCTTATTCGTCGCAGTGTTTCTTAAACATTGTAATTATCAAATTTATTTAATTGATAATCGCCTACGGGGCCACTCATTAACTAGCCAGCCGCCCACACTCTTGCAGTTCGCATAATTAAAAGCAATGCAAGAATGGGCTGCATAAAAATACACACATGCATACATACATATGTACATATGTATATACATACATATGCAAGTAGTATGTGCACATGTAGTGCGAGTGCAACTGTGAACATAAAATTTGTGTGTAACTATGCGTAATTTACCGACGTAAATACGTGGTAAGAAAAAAATGAAGTAACGGTGCTTTGGTCATTGAGAATGCGATGTTGTTGTTTTCGCAATGCACATTAATTACTACTTACACAAGGAAAACTCGCGCGCGTGGCTATTAGCTTACAGTTCTTATAAACATAAACATAACTTTTAAGCTGTGCCGAACAAATTTACAATAAACATTTAATGCTCCTTGCACGCCGCCAACGCTGGAAACGGCTTTTGCGAATTTAACTTTTTACCTACAGATTCGCGGCTCTGCCCACTTGCTGTTCAGTGTCACCCTCCCCAAAAAGTAATATGCATTTGTGCCAATTTGCAACTGCCCCGCCTCGTGTTCCAAATTACAGTTGCTACTGATCTGCCAGAAATTCGGCGTATTCTGTTTTAAGTTATGAATGAAAATCAAAAATGCAATGGATGGGCTGCGTAAAAACTCTGGAACACCCAAGTCCATTGTTAAACAGCCAAAAGAAGTGATACATTTGGTTTCGGTATCATTAGAAGTGATTGTACTGCAGGTAAAGGGAACGCGCCAATGGACACACACACACACACACACGCATGGATAAACTAGATCAAAACATTTGCCGACGCTGACACACTTTATTGATTGCTAAAACGAAAATTGTCCAATCGCACACAGTTATCATTTACAAAGTCAGTTCTACGAGGGATCTTCTATGAAAGATGCTAGCAAATTTGCAGTCGTGCTAACAAAAACAATGGGCACTATTTGTTTACAATATGCACGTTGGGTGTGCTTCACTATTCCTCCCAACTAGACTACCTTTGTCCTTGCGGCTGATAATGTCGTTACCAATACCGCCAATGGAATTATCCGGGTGAGTCGACGCCACATGCCGTCAGCGCCCAGGCAAGCCAGCGTGTTATGTGTGCTGACCATAGAAATGTACATACACACATTTTCTGCCTCATTCAAAATATCAGAGCACAGTTTTGGGTCGAAAACATAAAGCGACAAATTGACGCAAAACATTTAACACGCTCCTCCGACAGGGTCAATATTTTCACATTGGAAAAGGACGACAAACGGGCGCTTGAGACTGCAGCGGCGACGATGGCGGCAAGTTGCCTTTTATAGTAAGGAACACCTAGAAAAAAATTCTGTGAATTACGGCTGCTTTACTGCTAGGTTTGTTGTCTATGTGTGTAGGTGTGTGTTTATTGTTGGCCATGAGCTATGCGCAAAAAAAGGACATCAGTGGTGGCGGCACGGATACCGGCAATGTCGGCTTCTCATGCCCTTATTCAGCTTGTTGACATTTTTATTCCAAACAGTTAAGCAATATTTATAAACTGCTGGAACTGCCTGTCGTCTATGCTGGACAAAGGACGCGATGTGGTTGATTGTTTTCTGAACGTGTGTGTGTCCTATGCGACTAATGTTGGGTTTATGTTAACTAAAGCAATAATCGCATACTGAAGCAGTTCAAAAATTTGATAATCCCAACAATAAAGATGTGTAGCTAACGCATTGAGAATTGCAACTAAATATTAATTCAATACAAAATAAGAAAGGAGAAAGCCCATCTCTTTAATGCCTGCAAAAAAAAATTTGTAATTGTCTACACGTAAATTGAGTTAAAAATTTCAAGAACTACGGAAACTAAGTAGCTAGCTCTGATACTTTCTGAGATCATTCTACAGACAGAGGGACGGACATAGCTATATCAATTCGTCTTTTCATACTGATCAAGAGCTTTTATGTACCTTGTGGGGTCTGCCACGCATCCTTTTGTGTGTTACATATGTATGTACATTCGCTCAAAACTAGAATGCCCTTTAACCCTTTGGGTACAGCTTATAACAAGTGTGTTTATATATACCCTTATAAACTTTGGAAATGGCTGTTATATTTATACATTTCATTAATAAGCAAAAAATTTTAATTTGTTACTGAATAAATTTTACGCAACATTTATCATTTTGTTTAACAAATGAAAAAACTCATCACAAATAAAACTTTTTTTATTACAAATTTGATATGCCTTTATGTACAAGTATATTACATACATATATGGATATTTATGTAACAACATGTTCACTGTTTTCAGAGTACGTAATGCGATTTGTATTTAACTCGATGTGCATAGAAATATCCGGCGTTGAGTGCTAGTTGGGTTTAAACACATTTTTGCCTGAATGCATACGGGTATACTGTCAAGGATTTCCGGGCCTTTTATAAGTATGTTTGATTTCATTCAAAGAAGCTTTACGGCTTCATTATCCTAAATACTTGAAAAATTGTCATTTGGTCCTAAGGAGGTCAACGCACTCAAGCTTATTATTATTATTTTGTTAACTAAAGAGAACTAACCCTCTAGCTACATAGTTGCTCTAGTAGAAACATACTTAAGTCAATTTTAATATTGTTTTAAAGCATAATTAAATGAACTGTTTGCGATATTGTGAAAATTATCAATTTTACAGTCGCCTTGTCGATTCGAGCGTAATGATAAAAACAATCTACACTATGTTCTTTACGCCCACCCCCAGATGCCGCTACCGGTCGTCGTCGTCCTCGCCTCCGCCCACCCATCGCGTTGGCAAATAGACGCCGCTTTTATAATTACACCTTTACCTATCCGACAGAACGCCTCAGTTTGTCTTTGTCGGCCCCTTGGCGTCCACTAATTATCACATTTTTACTCATTAAAGGCCCATTTTCCAAGACTTGACTTGATCCTTGTGCTGCTGTTTGCTAATTACAGGCTAAATGCGCATCCTCTCATTTGAGGTAATCAGGCTTTCAGCTCATCCGCTACTGGACGCGGCTAAACGAATGATTGATTAGTTGCTAGCTGGATGCAGTCGATTACTCTAAGGGTAGTGGAAGCAGGTAAATGGCCAGAAATATGGGAATTAAAAAAAAACGAAATCGATTTCGATCAAATTTTACATTTATTAAAAATACGCTTTGGTGATGCGTTTAAAAAATTGTCATATTCCATGCAACTGATTTTGTCTGAGCACTCTTTAATTTTTACAAGCCTTTTTCAAATGTTGTCCGCTTCTAGTAGAACTCTTTGTAATTTAATTAAAACCAAATATATTTTAACTGAAAGATAATTATAATCACAAATACTTGTAAGTATAAAATAAGGCTCATGTGAAATTAACGAATTAGTTGTTTCTTTTGTTTTAACTTTTAAATAAAATAAATAAATTGAAAATGGGCGATATTTAGCGAACTTAGAAGATATCGATGGAAAACGGGCTTAAGTTTATTAAACCCAACATTTTCATATCCAAAGCCAATTCTCAGAACTATAGACCGTGTACCCGAAGGGTAAAAAGGTAGATATATTAGGTTTGTGCAAAATATGTAAATACCTTCTCCGTCTGTGTGGATGTACGCCTGGATTTTAGAAACAGCTTAGCCCACATTCTCCAAGCTTGGTATGCGGACTCTTATTTTATTTTTCATAAATTGTTTCCCTTTCTCCCGAGTTTTAAAATTTTGTTAATACTGCCCATAGCAACAGCCACATTGAATGAACTTTGTACGCGTAATTAATATATAATTTTCTACTTTGTTTCGAATTTCATCCAAATCGGTAAATTTTAAGAAGATTATTAACGAAACAATTCACTTCAGTACTATTTACAATTAACTTTCAACTTGACGGTATATTAGTAGTGCCTTAATAAGTCTAAGATATGAACCCTTAATAGACAAATATGTCAGTCTGTCAGATTAACTCTCAAGTCTGAAAGACAGGACTACAAAAATGGCCGAATTAGCTAAAAGAATTTAAAGCAAATCAGTCAGTAATTAACAGACTTCTCATATCTTTGTGTTATGCCAAAAATGCATGTCTTTTATGTTCCTTAGGTCTTTAATGTCTCTGACCACATATGGTTGAGAATCGGGGCATAGTTGGCAAAATGGCAAATAAAATTCCCCCCACCTTTTGGAGCCATCAATAGTTATTATTGTACAGTTTTTTCTTAGGCTTTCTTATCTTTTATGTTGAAATTTAACGTAATATAATTACATGTCCTTATTTTAATTATAATAGTATATGTAATATACATAAATCATAGCTTTTGTAATATGTATCGACAACACTATTTGTTGATTTATTAAATAAAATTTAAAAAAAATTGTACTGTTGAAACTTTCTGCAGAAATAAGATCCACCCGAGTGACTGCGAGTGACTAAGGAACTTTGCGGCAACTGCAGACGGAGGTGGCTCCAATTAAATATGTATGCTAAAGATACATAAACGACATCTGCGCAAACGCGACGCGTGCCACAAAACAAAGAAAAAGAGACAAAAAGCAAATAAAAGTGCATCTAGGAAAGTGCAAACACGAACAAAATTGACATCGCAAGCGCAGCTGAAGCTGAAGCTGAAAGGCAAATGCAGTCGAGATGGAAAGCAGCCCAAGGAAAAAAGCAAATCAAAAACTGATTTGGAGCGGAAGTTCGTTTGCACCTTTCTGCAGTTTCCTGTGTGCAGAACAATAAACACACACATGCCCGCACACAATCGCTTGTCAAGACATCGGCGGCGTAAACTGATTTCTATAAGTTCCTCTGACGTTTGGCCTTTGACGTTACGTCTTTGTCTTCATTGCCCGCCCGTTGGCTTTGTAATGCCATTCGCCGAGACTGAAAAGCTATAGATTAACAGTAGTATACACATATGCATGTATGTATGTAAGAGTATGTACATAGATGTATAAGTAATAAAAAAGAAGGCGGCGCGCACACGGGCACACAATACGCGAAGGATATGCAAAGCGTCGGCAGAAGGAGCCGCCAAGGAGCTTGCAGCTGCCTCTGTCGTAACATGTTTGATTTGCGATTTCTGGCAGCGGAAATGGAAGTGGATTGACACGCGGAATACAAAAAGGCAGCCACTCCAATACACGTACATATGTATGTTGGCATTGTTTGGCAGCTAAAGCCGAATTGGCGAATGGAAATCATGCGTGTATGGCAGTTGCATTGTTAAAATCACCAGCAACAACAACTACAACAGCAATAGAAAAAAACATAGAACCCAAGAGGCGTGCCACTAATGCGCATATGGCCCTAAGTTCAATGTTTGCTCCTGCTTAGAGAGCCAGAGCGATTGAAGTAATCTGATATCATTCTTTTTTTTAAATTTATTTACAAGCAATATATTTCTGTGCATGTATGTGTGTGTTTTCAGCATTTTCCGAACTGCTGAGCACGCGCTTAC